TGTGTGTGTGTGTGTGTGTGTGTGTGTGTGTGTGTGTGTGTGCGCGCGCGCAAGAATCCACAACCATGTGCTGATTCCTGTAATTCCACTATGTCCACAGATCCTAGGTATTTTCATGGACATTACCGCCCAGGGACCAGAGCTGTTGAATGTAGCCAGGTCCCTGCACACTTAGGATGCAACTTCATTCACACAAGCTGAGCTCTGAAGTTATTCTGGAGGTCAATGTTACAAGCAGGGATTCTTTGTATCTGGGAACATGACAGTGCAGGGGTAAGGTCTAGAGGTCTTCACAAGCTAATCGCACCAGCAATTAAAAGCCCTTGAAACATTCTTTCAGAAATACAGTGTGTCATAATGGCAATTAGCATTGCTTTGTTTTCTTCATATACAACTGCTCAGTGAGGGCTGGAGAGATGGCTCAGTGGTTAAATGCACTGGCTGTTCTTCCAGAGGACCTGGGTTCAATTCCCAGCAGCCACTTGGTGGAGAACAACCATCTATAATGAGATCTGGTTCCCTCTTCTGGGGTGCAGACACTGCACTATATGCATAATAACCCTTTTTTTTAATTGCTCAACAAACCTTTTTAAATTTTCTATTTAAAACTATTTGCATGCTTTGATATTTTCCCTGTGAGGGCTTTTATTTTCTGAAATTTCAGTATTTACTGTTCAGGATTGTTATTTTATTTTGGTGATTACCTCCCCACTATTAAAGCTATGGAATCAGCCCAGTGTTGTTTTATGGCTACACATTTAGTGTCTTAGTAGGTAGACAGTGGGTGCCCTGGTTGCTTATTTTGTTTTTGTCAGCTTGACACAAGCTGGAGCTACCTGGGAGGAGGACTCTCAGTTGAGGAAGTGCCTCCACCAGATGAGCAAATGGGCAAGTCCGTGATACATTTTCATGATGTATAGGACTCATGTGGGAGGGCCCGGCTCACTGAAGGCGGTGCCACCCTCAGGCTGGTGGTCTTAGGTGCTGTAAGACAGCAGGCTGAGCAAGCCACAGGCAACAAGTCATCAAGCATGATCCTCCATGGCCCTGCTTCAGTTCCTGCCCTGACTTCCTTCATGATGAACTACATATAAGCTGTAAGATGAAAGCAATGATTTCCTCATGGTGTTTTTTTGTTGGTTTTTTTTTTTTTTTTTTTTTTGAGACCAGGTTTCTCTATGTAGCTTTGGAGCCTATCCTGGCACTTGCTCTGTAGACCAGGCTGGCCTTGAACTCACAGAGATCCGCCTGCCTCTGCCTCCCGAGTGCTGGGATTAAAAGCATCCGCCACCAATGCCCGGCCTCCTTATGGTGTTTTTGATAATGATGTTTATCATAGCAATAGAAACCAAACCAAAGCAGTGGGTGTTTAGCACACAGATGGTTTGTTGGATGAATTTTACTTCTCCCTAAAAAGGGTAATGATGAAAATAAAACTTTATGTCAATAAATCTTTTGAAAATGGGAGGTTTGTAGGGCAGTGGTGTTGCATGCCTTTAATCCCGACACCTGGGAGGCAGAGGCAGGAGGATCTCTGTGAGTTCAAAGCCAGCCTGATCTACAGAGCAAGTTCCGGGAAAGGCTCCAAAGCTACAGAGAAGCCTTGTCTGGGGGGGGGGGGGGGTGTAGGAGGTTCTTGAGGAGGCTGGGTTAAATGGACACACAACACCCAGCTGAGGAGTGATATTTGCAAAGCAAGCCACCAGTGACAGGGAAGAGAAAGCGGTGCCAGCATGCTGCTATACTACTGCAGGCTCTAGGAAGGATGGTGAGGGCAGAGTCAGGAACAAGAGTCAATGGCTCTTGGGACAGCAAGACTGACACATAGCAGGCAATAGAGAAACAAGAAAGACTAAAAAGTCACCAGGGGCACCTTGTGACTAGTGGGGATCCCAACGAACTGGAGTCTGGTGCTCTTTACTCTCACTTCTGGGTAAGGGCACTGCCTTTTCTTTTTTTTGGGGGGGGTGATGGCTAACCCTGATTGCTGGCTTGATTGGATCTGGAATTAAGTGAGACAAGCCACTTGGCAGGTCTGTGGGGGCATTTCTAGGAAGCATTCCTGGAGAGAAGCCCCTCCCTCTGTGAGAACACACTCTGACATTGACCTACACACACAGAGCTCTGAGGGAAAGTGGTCCTGCTTGCTTGCCTGCCTTCATTTCTTGGAGGTATGCCCATACATTGCTACTGCTGTCACCATCCTCTCTGTCCCCCGCTTCTTTAGCCTTCTATTGAGGACTGAAGACGGATGGCTTTCGTACCTGGGCCTTCAGCAGCAGACTGGGACAGCTGATGCATCTGGCCTCATGGACTGAGTACTAGGTTCATAGGCATCCAATGTACAGGCAGCCATTGGACTACCTAGTCTCTATGATGCAATCCAACCTAAAAAATCTTTTTATATTCATCCTATCAGTTCTGTTCATCTAGAAAACCCCAATAGCATGTTCTTAGCCCTTAAACCTCAGTGTTGGCTAAGGTGTGTTAGGTAAGACAGAATAATTGCAGAATAACTGCATATTCCAACAGAATGGAAGAAATCGACGAAATGATCCTGCTGCCCTGACAATGCTGGGCTTAACAGTCTATCTGTGTTGGGTCCACAACCAGGACCAAGAGACTAAGGTGAGGATCAGGTCTGACAGGGACTTCAGTAAGCACCTGGATGCTATGTTCTATATCTCGGGGTCTTAGGTCTAATCCTCAAGATTCATTTTCAAAGCCCTTCCAAAACTTCCACACACCTTGCACTTTCAAGTGTCTGACCATTTAGTTCTAAGACCTGCCAATCTTTCACTACAGGAAGTACATTGTACATTTGGGGGATTACATTTGTATCTTTATAGTCTCTGATGGTTGAGCTAATCTCTATAATTATCCCTAAGATTCCCTTTTCATTTAGTATTTTGCTAGACAGAAGTAATAGACCATTCTGTTCCTTTAGCGAAACATTTGATGCTTATAACCGTATAAAGACAAGACGTTTAGCAGGGCCAACTTGTGCACGCCTTTAATCCCAGCACTTGGAGGCAGAGGCAGGCGGATCTCTGTGAGTTCAAGGCCAGCCTGGTCTACAGAGCGGGTTCCAGGTCAGCTAGGTCACCGTGTATTCCCCTATCCCTAGATGCTTACTTGGGCTCACAGTTGATTTAAGGCCAAGGGGCAGCATCTACTGATAACGTCTTTCTGGTAGTTTCAAGATGGTACAAGGAAGACAACACAGAGGGGAGCTCGTGTATGCCTGCATTTAGGTCTCCTTTCTTATAAAGCCACCAGTATTGGATCACAGGTTCTACACAGATGTCCCTGTCTAATCCTAGTCACCCCCCAAAGTCCCACCTCTAAGCATCACGGCCAGATTAAGCTGCTACCCTCTTCATATCTCATGTTGGGAGCTAAGATTTCAACACATGAACTCTTAGGGACACACTTAAAACAGAGATTTGTAATGGCTCACCCTGACCTTTGCTCCACAGGAACACTTAGTCCTCAGGACAAGGAGCCAATGTTCCCACACTGCAAATGATGTCTGCCCCACCTACACTCGGGACATGAGGATATAATCCATGAAATAGGGATGCGAATGTACAGGTCAGTGTCTCACAGTGAAATAGGATCTCCATTTAACCCCCATAACCATTCATTCTGACCAGTGGGCCGTGATATCAACCCCAGAACTAGAGTTAACTTGGAGCACATACTTATAGATCCTTGGGATTTGGGGGCTAATTCCTTTCCAAGTGTATGACGCTGGAGAAAATGGCTACACAGGCAAGCCTTGTACACCTACCTACTGCTACAGCACAGTCCTTGAGTCAGGGTCTAAGAACTGCTTAGTTCCTCTGGCCAGTCTACTTCTCAGGGCAATAAAACCAATGCTTTTGACAGAGGCGCTCATGGGAAGTGAACGTGGTGTGTAAAATCTCAACCCCACACAGGAGTCTTTCACTGTTTTAGTCCTGTACTTTAGCAACCAATCAGCAAAATGCAGGAAGCTGTCCTAGAGAGCCTGCTGAACAGGGTCTCCCTGGGGCTCCAGGTTCAGCCTGATCTTGCTAAATGAGGCTTAGAACTGGTTCTTTGGCTCAGAAGTTCATAGCCTTGGCTTCAAATGGAACTCCAGGATGGACAGTCAAATATACCAGTTTGTGATTTCCCTTTCAGATATGCTGGCTTGGCTGCCTGGATCTCTGGATTCTACAAAGCAGCCCAAAGCCAGATGTGACAGTGCATGCCTATAATCCAGGAAGATCAGGAGTTCTGAGTGACTCACGGCTTTAGCATACACAATAAGCCAGAGGCTAGCCTGGGCTACATGAATCTTGTCTTTAAAAAAAGGATCAGACTGGAATGTGGAGAAAACAGACTAAAACAAACTATTAAAGGACCCAAAGTCAGCCGGGCGGTAGTGGCGCATGCCTTTAATTCCAGTACTCGGGTGGTAGGGGCAGGTGGATCTCTGAGTTTAAGGCCAGCTTGGTCTACATAGTGAGTTCCAGGTCAGCTAGGAGTTTTACACAGAGAAACGAGCAGGATGAGAATGAGGAGGAGGAGGGAAAGAAAAGAAGAGAGAAAGAGAGAGAGAGAGAGAGAGAGAGAGAGAGAGAGAGAGAGAGAGAGAGAGAAGAAAGGAGGAGGAGGAGGAAGAAGAGGAGGAGGAAGGAGAAGAAGAGACCAAAACCCAGCAAATAGGACATCTCAGATAACCTTCTCCACTGAGAGCCACACTAGAAGCAATGGGTCATGCTACCACTGAACATTTGTTCTCAATAACTTCCCAAACACTATCTGACTCAGGTTTGAATTAGGCCCGCTCATATCAATCAGCTACAGCTGTAAAGAAGGTGACCATACACATGATCACTGGGGCCACTTCCTAGATTTGGGACCTTTACACCAGACAGACAGCCCAGCGATGTCTACGTCAATTACTCTCCCTCGTGTGAGCTTCTATTTTTCAGGTAATGAATGACAAATGGCAAAGAGACCCAAGGCACTGCCTGGTCAATCAACTTTAATCAAGTTCATGGTCAGCTGTACAAGTATGAGTCCAAGGAAAATCCTGTACCATCCTCTCTTCACTGTTGTCACTTGTAAGGTGTCGAAGGTGGGACCCATTCGTGAATCTTCTTTCTCGTGGTGGAATAAGGAACATATTGCTCTGGAGTGCCACTCACGTTGAATTTGTGGTTTGCCCAGATGAATTTACGAGCAGTAGGTGGCTTTGTTGTCGGAGGGTCGTCAGTCATGCAGTGAAGCCAACGGTGCCTTAAAGAGGAGAGATCCCAGTTATAGTGCAAGGTCAAAGTACAGTAGAGTACCTAGAAACCCCGCCCGCCCACAGGCGCTCAGTGTGCTCGCACTGGCCATCATATCACTGAGTTTCATCAAATTCAAGGTGCCATCCTTTTTCAGTGACACCATTATTTTATGTATTACAAATAAAGAAAACAATGCTGTCAAACTACAGAACACTTATAAACATGCATCCTGACTGTGGATGTAAAAACATTACTCTAGAGAGAGGAGGCTGGGCGCACAGGGAAGTAGCTGTCCCTCTGGCATCATCAGGTAAACAGGCCAGCTTCCCGGCCTGTGTTCCAGAGCCTGCAGATCACCTGGGAACTGTACAGAGCTCCCAATCCCGGCGGGAGCATCAGGTAAACAGGCCAGCTTCCCGGCCTGTGTTCCAGAGCCTGCAGATCACCTGGGAACTGCACAGAGCTCCCAATCCCGGCGGGAGCCAAGCAGCCCAGACTCCAGATCTTCTCTCCCACCAACGATTCCAGGAAAGGAGAGGAGGCTGGGAGTACAGGGAAGTAGCTGTCCCTCTGGCATCATCAGGTAAACAGGCCAGCTTCCCGGCCTGTGTTCCAGAGCCTGCAGAGCGCCTGGGAACTGCACAGAGCTCCCAATCCCGGCAGGAGCCAAGCACCCCAGACTCCAGATCTTCTCTCCCACCAAAGAGACCAGGAAACTACAGGAGCCAGGGAGACCAGGGGAGTAGCTGTTCCGGATCAGGTACAACAGGACCCAGCATAGGGTCCAGGGGACGAGGTAGGAGGCTAAGCGCCCCAGATTCCTGTTCTTCTTCTCTACCCAGGGACCAGCATTTGAACAAGGCATAGAAGAACCACCAGATTACTGGACTTACTAGCACCCAACAAAAGGGAACTCTGGTCCCCAGACCAGGAAGGGGCTCTTTCTGCACCCACTAAAAGCAGAGATGGGAAAGAGACAATACAAAAACACAGTCAGCAAAAGAAAAACAAATATGACACCGCCAGATTCTAGAGACTCCACACCAGCAAGACCCCAATATTCCAACGCGAAGGAAGCAGAAGAGAACGACCTTAAAAGCACTTTCATGAAAATGATAGAGGCCCTAAAAGAGGATATTGGAAAATCCCTCAAAGAAATGGAAGAAAAAACAAACCAAAAAATGCAAGAAATGGAAGAAAAAACAAACCAAAAAATGCAAGAATTGGAAGAAAAAACAAACCAAAAAAGGCACGAAATGGAAGAAGAAATGAAGCAAAAAATGCAAGAAATGGAAGAAAAAGCAAAGCAAAAAATGCAAGAATTAGAAGAAGAAACATACCAAATAAGGCAGGAAATGGAAGAAGAAACAAAGCAAAAAATGCAAGAAATGGTAGAAAAAACAAAGCAAAAAATGAAAAAAATGGAGGAAGAAACAAACCAAAAAAGGCAGGAAATGGAAGAAGAAACAAAGCACAAAATCCAAGAAATGGAACAAAAAGCAAACCAAAAAATGCAAGAAATGGAAGAAAGAACAAACCAAAAAATTCATAAAAGGCAACAAACGGACGAACAGATAAACAGAAAATTGCAAGAAGCAATGCAAACGCTGCAAGGGTTGAAAACTGAAATAGAGACACTAAAAAAACACAATCTGAAGAAAGGCAGAAAATAGAAAAGCTGGACAAGCAGTCAGGCACTACCAATACAAGCATTACCAACAGAATAGAAGAGATGGAAGAGAGAATCTCAAGTGTTGAAGATACATTAGGAGAAATGGATTTATCAACCAAAGAAAACCTTAAATCCAACAAATCCTTAACACAAAACATCCAGGAATTATGGGACACCATGAAAAGACCAAACCTAAGAATAATAGGTATAGAAGAAGGAGAAGAAATCCACCTCAAAGGGGTAGAAGGCATATTCAACAAAATCATAGAAGAAAACTTTCCCAACCTTAAGAAAGACATGCCAATGAAGGTACAAGAAGCCTACAGAACACCAAATAGAGTGGACCACAAAAAAAAATCCCCTCGCCACATAATAATCAAGACCCCAAACATACAGAATAAAGAAAGAATATTAAGAGCAGCTAAGGAAAAAGGTCAAGTAACATATAAAGGCAGACCTATCAGAATTACACCTGATTTCTCCATGGAAACTCTGAAAGCCAGAAGGTCCTGGATAGATATTCTACCTACACTAAGAGACCATGGATGCCAGCCCAGACTACTATACCCGGCAAAGCTCTCAATCACTATAGACGGAGAAAACAAGATATTCCATGACAAAACTAGATTCAAGCAATATGTGTCCACTAACCCAGCCCTACAGAAAATTTTGGAAGGAAAACTCCAACCCAAGGAAGCTAACTACAACCAGAAAAACATAAGCATCAGAGAATCCCTCTCTACCAACAGCCAAAAGAACAAAGGGGTGAAATTCCATACATAATTCCACCACCAACAACCATCGCAAATCAGCTTGGTATTGGCACAAAAATAGACAGGCAGACCAATGGAATCGAATTGAAAATCCGGGTATTAACCCACACACGTACGAACATCTGATCTTTGACAAAGAAGCTAAAAATATACAATGGAATAAAGAAAGCATCTTCAACAAATGGTGCTGGCATAATTGGAGACTGGCATGTAGAAAAATGCGGATCGATCCATGTTTATCGCCATGCACAAAACTTAAGTCCAAATGGATCAAAGACCTCAACATAAATCCAGCCACACTGAACCTCTTAGAAGAGAAAGTGGGTGGTACCCTTGAAAGAATTGGTACAGGAGACAGCTTCCTGAACATAACACCAGTAGCACAGACAGTGAGATCAACAATTAATAAATGGGACCTACTGAAACTGAGAAGCTTCTGTAAGGCAAAGGACACAGTCAGCAAGACAAAAAGGCAGCCCACAGAATGGGAAAAAATATTCACTAATCCCACATCTGACAGAGGGTTGATCTCCAAAATTTACAAAGAACTCAAGAAGCAAGTCTCCAAAACAGCAAAGGACCCAATTAAAAAGTGGGCTGCAGAACTAAATAGAGAGTTTTCAATAGAGGAGTCTAAAATGGCTGAGAGGCACTTGAGAAAGTGCTCAACATCCTTAGCCATCCGGGAAATGCAAATCAAAGCAACTCTGAGATACCATCTCACTCCTGTCAGAATGGCTAAAATCAAAAACACCAATGACAATTTATGCTGGAGAGGATGTGGTGAAAGGGGGACACTCCTCCATTGCTGGTGGGAGTGCCAACTGGTTCAGCCACTTTGGAAAGCAGTATGGAGATTCCTCAGAAAAATGGGAATAAACCTACCACAAGACCCAGCAACTGCACTCTTAGGCATATATCCAAAAGATGCCCATTCATATAACAAAGATGTCTGTTCCACTATGTTCATAGCAGCTTTATTTGTAATAGCCAGAACTTGGAAGCAACCTAGATGTCCCTCACCCGAAGAATGGATAGAGAAAATGTGGTACATCTACACAATGGAGTACTATTCAGCAGAAAAAAATAATGGAATCATGAGATTCGCAGGCAAATGGATGACACTAGAAGAAACCATCCTGAGTGAGGTAACCCAGTCACAAAAAGAGAAACATGGCATGTACTCTCTCATATATGGATTTTAGACATAGATCTGGGGAGTGCCAGCCTACAATCCTATTGCCAGAGAGTCTGGGAAACAGAAACTTCATTTACTGGCTGGTTAAGTACTGAGCTGAACTCAAGAAAGCCAGTATCAGAGAGGGAGGACTGATGATCAAAGGGATTAAGACTGGGCTGGTTGAACCCCAGAAACAGCTGACCAGACAAAGGTTAACTCTTGAATCCCAGGCATCAGCCTGGGAATCCAGCATGGGACTGATCAAGACCCCCTGAATCTGGGTGTCAGTGAGGAGGCCTAGGTAATCTATTGAGCCTTGGACAGCAGATCAGTACCCATCCCAAGTATACACACGGTCTCTGGACTCCCATAGAACAATGTGAGGTGCACTCTCACCCTGAACTCTTGGGGAAGGGTCTAGGCCCTGCCCTATATGAAATGACAGACTATGGACACCCCCATGGAGGGCCTCACCCTCCCTGGGGGAATGAGGGGATAACGGGGGGATGGGGGAGGGCACGGGAGGAGGGGAGGGAAAGGGAGAGGGACCTCGTACTGACTTGTGAAGCAACCTTGTTTCTTATCTAAATTTAAAATGGAAAATAAAAAAAAATATTAATAAAAAAATGAAAAAAAAATAGGGACATATACTTCTCTTTACCCATTTATCTAAAACAATCCTTCCTGGATCTTGGGATTTTCAGATTCACCTAATGAGAGCCTCATCTCCTGGTTATCATTAAAACTACTAAAACCAAAAAAAAAAAAAAAAAAAAACCATTACTCTAGAGTCGACTATAAACAGTGTTAGTCTGAGAGTTTATGGGCTCATTCTGGATATTTAATATGCTCAGGTTATACTGGCTCACAAAGCCTCCATTTGAAATTCATGAGGGTCCTGCTGGTGAAAACAGTTTCTATGCATTATCTTCAACTCAAGCTGGGGTGTGAACACCACAGAATAAACAACTTGTATTAGAAATATTTAATCTTGGGACTGGGGCATTAGCTCAGTGCAAGAACATGTGCCTAGTTCTCTAGCCGTGTGTGTGTGTGTGTGTGTGTGTGTGTGTGTGTGTAGGGGTAGAATGATAAAGTCAAGCTGGACAGGGTGATGCACACCTGCAATCCTGGCTGCTCCACAGGCTGAAGTGTGAGGGCTGTCTGGGCTCAGGAGTTTCCCGACCAGCCTGGGCAACATGAGACCCTGTCTCCTATAGTAAGCACACTACACACTTAAGATTCAAATGGGATTTTGATGAAAACATGGTTATAGCAACATAAACTATATAAGTGCTACATTGTTGCTCAAAATATACTACATTCTTCCTTTAGAACTAACAGGTCAGCCACACAAGAAAACTAGTCAATTCTGAATATCA